GTTAACACCTTTTTATGTATTAAAGTGAGCAGTGAGGTGTTGCTGCTCGTGTAACTGGCTTTAGATAAGCGTCTTCTGGCAGATCAAAGGAGTGTGTTCTGCTATTGAGATTTCTGCGCTGAGTCATTTTGATAGAGACACTATTATTAAATATTGGCCAATCATTAACCACTTCTTTCATATCATTATCAGAGCTCAGCATAAGTAGTCAGCTAGCGTCACTTTATCTATTGACCAGGAACAGGTCACCTTGGTAACACACTCACATATGTCATTAGTCACTGCACCTGGTTGTTAAAAGCTGGATGACTGTTGTACCTCCACATGAATGATTAATCACAAACACAAGGAAGTCAAGATGTATTCATTCAGGCCTGTTGTTTGACTTCTGAATTTGTTTGGGACAGGTGGTAACGCTCACATATGGGTAACTTTATCCTTTCACATGACTTATTTAGATATATTGACTGAAGGGGACATAAAGCGACTGCTGCAGGTGTGAAGTGAAAGGAAAATGTGCTGTCGGGGCGTGGAGGTGTGTAGTTCTGAAAGCTCTTATTTCATTGGTTTAAGGATGCCTCAAAGCAGCGCGAGTGTTACTCAGCTGTAACGCTGTCTGATCATGGCTCTGGGCTGCTATGGCATTACCGTGGTAATAGTCCTCCCATGATGAACGTAATTAGAAGAAAATCAGAGCAGCCATGGTTACACTTGAGCTCACTGCTGAAGACTTGACGCAGTAATTCTGAGAATTATCTCTGGTTTTATACAATTTTTAAAAATGTGTCACTAATTGCTTGCTTTAAATTGTCTTCCTATTCCCCCCTTCTTCTCTATATTACCTTGTCAACCCTTTTCGCCTCCGCTCTTCTTTCCTTCTGCACTTCACTCCCTTTCTCCCTCTAGTGTACGTGGTGGAAGACAGGAGAAGAGACGACACAGGAGACACATGCCTGACAGCCTGCTGGACAGCTCTGTGTTGTTGCTGTCTCTGGGACATGCTGACATAACATACTCCCCAACTGTTCACTCCCATTAACCCCATGCCCCCCATTTCTGTGCCTGGAACCCCATCACCCTTTCCCCCATCTGCCTTAAACCTTGCACTCCCTTAAAACCACCCCTCCATTTCCTCTAAAAAGTCTTTTGCCTGTCTATAAATAAACGCCTCAATGGACGTCTCTTCCCAGAGCCACTTCCTCTATCGTGATGTGAAGCCCTCAGCACTGACTGACTTACAGACTGACTGACCCTGTCCAGGGACTATTCTGTAGCAGCTTTTAACTGAGCTTCTAAACATAACCTGAATCTCACGCTCTGCACTGTAATCTTACACCAACATACAACAGCACAGATGCACACACACCAATGTAGATCCACAATTACCGATAACACACATACTGTATACTCGGATCTCAGGCTCATCTAGTGTGAGGTTCTTCACTGTAATCTTACACCAACATACAACAGGCATGGACGTGCACACACACACACCAAGGTAGATCCACAATTACACACACACACACACACACACATACAGTATATTTGGATCTCAGGCTCATCTAGTGTGAGGCTCTTTGGCACTTTATGACGATTACCTCTTTAAGACACTACTCCTGCCTGCCCTCTCAACCAACTCCAGCCCTCCCTAACCCCCCTTCAGCTGTGCTACTTCCCTTTGCCAAGGAATGACCCCTTATCCTGAACCCTCCATACCCCAAAGGCCACCAAGTCCCTGGCTGCTAATGAGCCATGGGGCACTCTTAAGAAGCTAATGCTTGAAATGTATCCCTTTTTATTTGCACAGAATCTGTTTTTTGCCGACATATGTAAGTGAAATCATATGACAATAAACGAAATGCATTTTTAAAGATGACAGTGATTTATGTTTGATTACTGTTGACATTCAGTGGCCTCAGTGTTTTCATGGTGATCTTGATATGAAAAATGATTCCAATATTATTTTTATTACACACCTTGGAGAAAAAAAAAAGAAAATATGAAAAAAACCAAAAAACATGATTGCTTAACAGAAGAAACCAAATGACCTGTTACTAAATGCCTTTTTGCTTTACATGAGAAATCTTGCATTAAAATAATTTATTCCCATGAAATGTGAAGCTTTGTCATTTGTGTTTCTCTGGGGCATTAAAGCGTTTGTGTGTGGGAGGTTAAAGGAGAGGAGGGAATATAGATCAGTATACTGTAGCTGTTGGGGGGGGCTAGCCGGATGGGTCAGATCTCTTCAACTATTTATAACACAGTTGCTAGTGCAGGACGTTTGTTGCAGCATGGCTGCCTTCTGATGCATTAACACTGTTTCACAAAAGTAAAGCTACATAGAGAGACAAAATTACACGCAAGTGAAAAGAGAATAAGTGACTGGATGTGGCATTGCTTCATAATGCACAGCACCTTTTAAAGGTAGTGGAAAGTATTAATTAGTTTATACTCTAGCACTGCATGGCTTTGAAAACATGTACATGTAACATTTTATGCTACTTAATACTTTTACTCCACTACAATTTAGAGGGAAATGCTCTTTTTGCTTCACTACATTTATCTTACAGGTACAGTTCATTTTCAGATTAAGATTTTACCTACCTTAAAGGAGAAGTTTATAAAATGATACATTAAACTGCCCAACAATAGGCCGATACGAAAGATTAAAATGAACCCACCCTAAACAACTACAACAACTGCATAGATGTTAACACTGACAGGGCTCATTCATACATATTTGATACTTTTAAGTACGCTTTCTCACTGGTAATTCTGAAGTTTTACTCACGTAAAATACAGGATTTAGATGTAGCGTATACTGCCACTTTTAGCTAAATCTGCATTAAATGATTTTAACTGGCCACTTTGAGGCAATGGAAGCAAACTATGAACACTGACACATTGGATGTGGCGTGTTACAGTCTTGTATTTACACATCTAGTAGATTGGGACATTGACATTAATTTGAAATCCTTTGTGTCCTCTTGGGGAACTTAAGTCCAATCTTCACTCTCCTGTTCGCCATCTTTGGTCTTTACCAATTCCTGAGGGAACAGCTATGTTCACCAGCTAGTCACTGTAACTTCATCTGCCTGCTGTTTGGTGCTGCAGTCAGCATAGAGTGTGTTTTTAGAGCTTATACACTGAAAAAATCAGCCTGCGAGCAATCTATGAGAGCTGTGAGAGTGAAACAAAACTGTGAAGGTGAAGGCTGTACAACCAAAACAACAGCTTGACACAGTAAAAAGATCTGAGCTGTGGGGAACTTCCTCAGTATATAGTCATTTGATGCATTATTAATACAAAAAACATTGATTATAGACACTTGAACCTCTTCTGCCGAAAGGGGACGTGGCATGTCAAATTCAATAGTATAGAGCACAATTACCCCAGGAAGTAACATTTATCTGTAAGCACTTGGAGTTAACAGCGGTAATTGTAATGGCTACTTAAAAGCACATCAGAATCGATGAACAGTCAGTGTCAAAAATATTGGCTCCTATGTTTGTGTGTTCAGAAATGTAAGCAATATGTTTGGAGATAGGAAAGCAGTTGTTGTGTGAAGTTGCTTAATGGCATGCTAGATGGCAAGATGGTGGTTCTCAAACTGGGGGGTGTAGAGCACAGGCGGGTCATGGGTGTTAAGAAAACCTTAACTTGGCATGAAAAATGATTCAAGTGGTGACATAAACAAAAGTGCTCTGATGCTAGCAAGTCTATTTTGCTAACCTGAATCTTGTTTATTTCAATCACCTGTGTTGATGTGTTATTGATGGATACAAATGAAATCCACTTTTGCTGGGTGGGGGGAATGGACTTTTTTTGGTACAGAAAGGGGGCATGAAAGAAAAAGTCCGAGAACCACAAGACATCAATGTCATGTCTGTATTAACTTTTTAGAACAACTGGAGAAAAATTATAGCTTATCAGTGAGGTTGATGAAAAATTCACAAAGAAAGGGGGAAAACTGCTTGTGTTAATCAATGGAGTGCTCCAGTATACCAACAACACTCCAAAGATTGCCTTGAAATGCAACAAATGTAATTGTCTGTCATTCAAGCTGGTGAGGAGTTGCTACTGTAAAAAGAACATCAATAGTCTTCAAACACAAACATGAGATGAAAGTGAACTACACATTGCTCATTTGAAGTAAACAATTATGTTTTTGATAAGGTTCTCAGAAGAGTCTCGTTTCAGTGAATGTATAAGAATCATCCTTTGATAATACTGATTTGGTACATTATGACATCCAGCACGAGTCTCTTCACAGTGAGAGGGATCCATTACTGCTACTGCTGTTGGGATCTAGGACAGAAATATCTCTGCTTCCAAACAAACAAAAAAACAGTCAAAAACAACAAACTGGGGATTGATATTGTAGATATGGTATATTAGAGTGCCACAAAACTCTAGATTAGTAAGACCAGCTAAAGATTTTGCACATTACAAGCCACTTCCTCTTAGAAATATAAAACTTGATATTCTGGACAATATTCTACTGTGCTGCATAAAGGTAGGTCTATACACTGTACATCGAAATATATTTCGAAAAAACAGATTTCACAGTTTTAAAGACTTTATTTAAAGTATAAACCGTTTTTTTTAAAACACTTTATTACATAAATTATTCTTTTTGAGAGTGACTATTATTTGCCCTGGCAGCAAACTGAAATTAATACAAAAACAAAATCAACATTTCTTACATATTTTACAAAAGAAATAAACTCATCCATTAATGTTCATTTGGAATTGAACTGGTGACTCATTCATGATTGTCATATAGTACTAAGAATAAATAAATAAAAAGAATAAAATAATATAATACTAACTTAGCATGTTTTCCGGACTCTGTGAGTGGTGTGTTTGATCGTTCTGTACAGAAGTGCCTTGGTGAAAGTCTCACAATTCTACCGCGACTGAAACGTACAAAACTACGGCATCTACAGTATACGCAACATCCTGGAATTCTGTGTAGTCAGACACATATGTATTATGATTCTTCTCCCCATTTCAAAATAAACAATGCTGTGTGATACCACTGTCCACAAATATAGCCATCACTTTTTTTGACTTTGTTTTTTAAAAAGTTTATTTTCTAGATTCTAGTCCATTAACAGCTCGGATTTGTTCAAGGATGCCGTTAGCTTGTGTGTTGCTTGGTTGGATGTGCACTGCCTCAGCGGCAGAGGACTGGTCCGTGGTGGACGATGGGAGGCCTGAGACAGGGAGACGACTCATAGTATTGGACGACCATTGACATTGCCTTGTTTGTTGCTGTTTATGATGTCCTCTGTTGATGTGTAGTTGTAATGCCTGAACTCTGGAGTGGCTTTGTCTCCACTTTGGTCCCTATGCCTTAAGTGTCTATTAGAGACAGACAAGCCTTCCCCGCAGAAGCCAGCACAGTACAACTCCACCGTGCGTTCAGTAGCTGTCATGGCCGCTCTCAGTGTGACCCAAAAAATATGGGCGAAAATATCACTATCTTTTTTAAAAAGGGGAATCTTCTTATTCATTAAGCAACAGTTCTCAAAGTTCTTCAGTGCTTTTGCAGTAGTTCAAAGTTTTTTTTTTCAAAAAAGAACCATTTGACTAAACTTTAAATTTTTTGCCTGTGGCAGTAAAATTAACAATATGTTTTCTGATAAGTCATTCTTTTCAAAAGTCCCTGCAGCGTTCCGTGATTAACCCCATTTGTTGGTTAATTCTCCATGGGTTTTGAAAGGAGTAGGGTCAAGGAGGCTGGGTAGGAAAAAAGAGCTGGATCTAGAGAAGTAAAAGTGAGCGAGAGGGAAGAGTGTCCTTCAAGCAAGCTTAGGTGGGCTGTTACCTCTTGCCCATCTCGTTCTGTCTGAGGAACTGGATGTTGTTGCTGCTGTCGGCCAGTTCTGGATACTGCTCCACAGGCAGTACATAGTAGCCATCGTAGCCTTGAACTCTACCGGTCGTTAGGAGCTGCTGTCGCTCCCCCTCCGTCCAGAGGCGACTGCCTCCCTTTCCATCCCTGGCCCGCTGCTGTTCCTTGGCCCAGGCCCCAGCCAAGGCTCTCTGCCTAGCCAGCTCCAACAGTCTTACCTTCTCTTCATCCACCACATCCACAGCAAGCCCGTACCGAACACTCAATACTAACGATGGAACTGCAAACTCCACAGTCACTCCTCTCCTCGAGCGGCCGCTTACCGTCACATTGATACCGGTCTCCAATGACTTACGCCCGTTAGTAAGCCCCAGGGCCAGCAGGTCACTGTCAGCCGAACCCACTTTCACAAAGTAGTGACAGTCCTTCCCGTCCTGGGTGTAATGGGTGCCTTCGAGGTACTGGGCACCATTAAGCACCAGAGCCACTTTACGGCTATCGTCACTGGCCAATGCGGACACGCCAGCCACCACTCCGCCTTCCTTCACAGCCAGCATTACTCCTCGGCCTATTATTGGGGTGCTGGTGCCAAACCAGTGACCGGGCTTGTCCCTGCGTCTTTGGCGTTCCTTGTTGAGGAGACGACCCTCCAGGGCCATGAAGGCCTGGTTGTGACGCTCTGCTGCCTGCTGCACACCCGTGATGAGCTACATGAAAATAGAAATAGAAAAAGCTTTGTCACTTTGTTGAAAGTTACTGTCATCTATTGACACACAACCAAATGCAACTTGTAAATATTGCCGTGGAAATATGATTGGTATCTGTATTAACATGAACATTCATGAGAACAGCTAAAACAGTATAATGGGGTTAATATTGACTTTCATTCTGTTGATTCAATACTTTCAGAACAGTAGTCGTACCTGTCCGTTCTCACAGTGCTGGGTGGCCTGCAGCTCGTATGGTGGCTCCACAAAGTAGAGCGAGTGTCGAGGGAACCCAGGGATTATGTTACTGAGCTGGAAGCCAAACATCACCAGCCAGCTCTTCACATCTACAGCAGACAGGAGGGGAAATTAATTCACCAAATGACAAAGTTAAACACGGTAGCAAATGAATCATTTTTATCATAAAAGAGTGAAAGTGTGTTTGCCTCTGACTCATCTGGTGTTATGCAAAGCTATCAGCTACGGCGCCATCTGTAGTACATTGTTACTTGCATAAAGTACCTTGTCAGGACAATGTCAGGACATAACAAGCTAAGGTGAGTGCATTTCTGTGAGCTGTGAAGTAACATTTTGAAATGGCATGGGAAATGGACAGCTTTAAATAAAAATCCAGCAACATGAGACAAATAATTGGCTAATTATGTAGAAATATTCATACAGTATCCAACATGTGTGACATATTAATACATATTAATCTTCTACCTGTGACGTAATTTTTGACATCCAGCATGTCACTGAGGGGTTGTTGTTCTTGAACATGTACAAATTAAATGGAGAGGGATCCTTCCCAATCTTGGGCCATGTGCTGTAGTCAGGCGAGGTCCAGCGCCCTGCCAAACATCGTAGTCCCGCTGTGTAAAGTGGACCAGCTTAGTCAAGGCGTCGTAGAGACCACCGTGGAAACCGATCACCAGCTGGAACTCTGGTTAGAGTCAAGGTACACTTCTCCGTAGCTGTGTACTGCACCTGGGTGACACAAGCAGAGTCAATTTGCTTTTGTCAATGCTCAGCTCTTTCTCTGATGGAAAGGTCAGAACACTGTGTCAGGTACACAAGAGCGTCCCTGGAGCTGATGAGGACTTAGGGTCTTGTACAGGAATGCATTGGGCACGGCTGGTGCCAGAAGCCCTTTCTTATTCAGATGTTTTGTTGTTTTTACTACACAGTTTCAGCACAATTTTGGTACCTGTAATTCTTTGCAAATAAAGTGAATTTACAAAGTTACGTGGAGGGTTACCTGTTTGATCATTTGTCCATTGCTGCTGAAGACAGCCAGCGGCGTGCCAGTGTTGTCAGAAGCTATGTAGTATTCCTCTCCACATGCTCACCTCCATGGCGAACAAATGTCCCTGATCATAACAGTCAGAAATTCAGTACAAATTTTTTGTTGCAGGATAAAGTTTTTGCCATAACTTGCAGCGGTATTGCTCTAACAATATTTATCAGTATTTCCCAGAAAAGATTATTCAATTTATGCTAATGTGTTGAAATTTAAGGAAAAGATATTGACACTCTCTGTACACCCACGCCTACCTGCAGGTCATAGTAGCGATGAGATATCTGAGCTGGAGTGGTTGAAAATATGTGTGATCCTTGTTGGGTGGTTGAGGTCAGCATAGAAGAACTGCAGGTGCTGTCCCAGGCTGT